GATAATCATAGCTACCTCAACATGTCTCTCTCTGCAGAAGAGAGAGTGTGTGAAGCCTTTAAAATCACAATCACCGCCATCTGAAGGCCTCTTTTAATGTGATAACAAAGCTAAAAGGAGAAAGAATATCTCATTGTGTAAAGCATACCTGCTTGAAAAAAGTCAGGAAAAGGCTGACCCTCTGTGGCAGTACAGACTGGGTACAGCAAGGTCCATACAAAAACAACTAAGGGACAATATTCCTCAGTATGGCTTGAACTAGTGATGTTAGTAAGTAGATTAGTGTATGGTTCTTGGAAAATATATGTTTACTTTGAATTTTTGCGGTTTTCGAGAAAAAAGAAAATAATACAGCACAGCTTATGTCTGTTTCCGTGGAAACTCTCCACCAGAAAAAATACCAACCAAGTAAGAACCAATCAGAACCCTTGGAGTTACATCAAGACTACCACACCACATAGTAATATATGATTACAATGAATCCAAACTTCTAGCATACTGCATATTTTGAAAACACCTTTATAAAAATAGTTATTTTCAGGTTTTGTTTAACCGGTTACATTTACTAGAGCTATGGTATAATGTGAACTAGCTTACAGCTTTGAATGGGATTCCAATGAAGGAAACTCCAGGACAAATATTTGCGGTAGTTAAATGAAATACGGTTTGGTAAAAACCATCTGTACACAATCCTGCAAAGGTAAAAGTTAATGTCTACTTTAGAGCTCATCTGATCCCACTGCCACTCAGAGTGTTATTATATAGCTCTTACTCCCAAACCCCCATCCCCCATACAACCATATTTAGGTCAGTTTCCCCTTCTATGCTCTTAGTAAGTAGGGGCACTATTGAAGTTAGAACTGAAGGGATTTTAAGAGAAACTATCAAATGGTTCACAATGGGTGATGTTCTTATAATGGACATATGTATGAAGTCAAATGCAGCCATAAGCTATATATACAATGCAGATGGTAACAGTTGTGTCATGGGAAAGTAGAACAAAAAAAATTTCTTTCTTGCTAACAACTACCAACGATAGGCTACAAATGTATCCTGAAATTATCTTATATGCTAAAACCTCCCTTTATGTATTGATTTCGTGGTACCTGAGTATTTAAGTCCAGAGTCCGAGAGCTTGAAAGTCACTGAACCCACTGCAAAATGAAGGGGAAAACACAAATTAATTGAGTATCAAATGAAAGAGAGAAGAAAGAAAATTAAAACATGAGAAAGCAGACCAAGCATTGGCTTAAATTATCTTTTGTTGATTCGAATTTCAAACAATATACATGAAGTACCTGGATGCTGGTCGCCATGATATTGGGGCCCAAGTTCACCTGACAAGATAATTGTGAGATTCAGTGGTTTAACTAAGGGAGTAATGTTGCTACTGATTGGATGTAAAACTGGTGGTCAGTTTGAGTTCAAATCCAGTATGTGGAAACTATAAAGTCATGTACAAATGTTTTTCATGATCTTGCTGATTTTAATTCAATTGCCCCTAAATGGAATATGAAAGCCAGAACCTTACAATCATATCCAATATCACCATAGAAGGTTATGAGAAGTTACATAATTACGAACTTAATCAAAGGTTAAGAGAATGGTACCTTTCTCCAGCTGACTCTGTGTGGAAGTTGAAGGAGCTTGTACACCTGGACATGAGACAGATTACTAATTAATTCAATTTGAAACTAGTTATGCAGCATTCAGCAATTACTGACTCAGCAGACATGGCTACAAACATCTCATCCAATCAGTGCAAGTGCTTTATTTACCCTACTGAGTACAATTGGATAAATGTGTCTAATCCTTCTACAAACACTGTAATATTGAAGTTTGGTCAATAACTGGCTCTTTGTTATCTTGACTTACAGCTATGGCTGAAGTTTTTGCCAGATGTGAATCAGGATTATGGAAATAAGGACATCAAGCATTCAAGTGCCATCAAGAAGATACATTTCTCATTCCTTTTACTATGGCAATCACTTGTGATTCAGTATTTACCTTGATTTGTGGTGGTGATTTCCCTTTGTCCCAAGTCAGGTGGAGAGTTACCTGTTTGGCTCCCCTGCGACAGTGGCAGACAGGAACACCCTAGTGCTGGCCTGTTTATATTGTTTGCGGATTAAATCTGCAGACAAATTGCTGCCAACTTTATACAGTTGATGATTTCCACTTGGCTTTGCTTTGTAATAATCAAGGTATCTACAGATAAAAAGCACAGGTACCAAGATGACTTATTAACAATATGTAAAAGAAATCAAACCAGGGAACTTACAATCAAACCCTGAAGACCGTAGAGACCCAACTAGTTAAGTTTTTAAATAGTATTTATCACGCATTTTAAACATTAATAGAAGCTACTTGTAGATTTTATTTTATTAATTGTAGTATTTTAAGTTTTCTAAGTAAATGTGTTGATGCCTTATCTAGTTAATATTATTAGATTAATATGGCATTGTTTTTGTAGTTATTGTATTATTGGATTTTCTGATTAAAAATTGTACTATTCTTAAAAAAAAGCCTAGTATGCAACGAGAGAGAGTTTGATGCGTAATCATGCTCAGAAGGAGGCTGTCCAATTAGTTGGTTGGTGTTGACAATTGGAGCTGGTGTTCTAAGGGATCAAATATCACTTAAACCTCAAGTTTTTGAAAAACTGTTACAAGGGCTTATATTCAGCACTGAATGGAAGATCGAATTAATTAAAAAAAGAAACACAGAAGACGAAATTTTGTATTCCATAGATCATCAAAAACCGCGGTCTAAATTGGACTGCACTTGAATGACCCTTCGGGTCAGCTATTTACACGTTATTTTGCCTTCTTGACACTGCCAGTCACAAAAATTAAGCCCACTTCACATTGATCTCTCGACTTAAGAAATCTCGATTTAATCCTCAACTTTGTGCGGTTGTGAATAAAAGGGATAGGATTCTAAAGAAATTTTGGTGCTGCGTCGTTAGGAGAGTATAAAAGGGTAATTTAGTATCATCAACTGAGATGCAACTCAGTTGGTAATACTGAATTACAATTTTGTTTGGCTATGTTAGGATGATTGGCCGGAAATTGTTGAATTTTTTGCCGGCGTGTTTGATTAGTGACTGTTTTGTTCGTAGTGTTCGTAGTGTTTTAAGTTAGCCATCAGGTTATCTTAAAATAGGGTTTTAAGTCTTGTCAAATGAAGTTATCGTAGAATAAGGGTTTTAAGTTTTGTCAAATGAAATAAATGAGTTTAAAATAGACTTTATCTTACTAGCGCAACCCTCTCATCGATTTGCGGTGGAATCCTGTGGAATTCACAACATAAAAACGCGCGATTAGCGCTGCTCCAGGAACATTAGTCCAGAACAACCAGCTGATTCAGTGAATAAAAATATTTTGCGTAGAAAAATGGCTGAAACTAGAATTCAGTCACCATTTTCACGCTCGCCATTTTAAGTTCTAAGCTGGTGCGGTGCTGAAAGAATGTAGACCATATTTGTGGAAAACTGTCTTACTCACCGGGTCGCCGTGATTTCGGGAATTTCCCGTTTTAGGTGCGCCACCATAGCGTCTCCGCAAAGCCTCTGGTCGAACTTGACCTTTTGCCATCTGGGGCAAGAGTTGGGTTTTGAGTTACTTGCGCAATGTCGTCCACCCAAACGAATGTTCGGTAGGGCTTCGCGCCCGGTAGCCCGCCTGCAATTTGTGAGTCCTGTGAACCAACTTGTGCATTGGGGTCAAAAAATAGGCCCGATGGCTCCTACGCTGTGATCACCAGACATTTCAAGATTTGTTTGTACAGATGAAACAAGCTGTTGTAGGGAGCGAAAAGAACTTCCCTCGCTCATCTGAAAAGTAGTGCCACTTAGAGAAACACCCCTATGCTGGTATCAAATGTAACGTCAACGTCATATCCGAAATGATGATTACTGGAGGTGTGACATTTCTAATTTTTCTTTTTTCATAATTAAATGAATTTAGGATCCAAGACTTTGCACGAGCTGGTTAACATTCTTGAGATTTTATAAAATTACACGTCAGTCATTTCCTATTCGATGAATGGATTTTATGAATATAATTTGCTTCCGTACGCCAAGTCAGAGTTACGAGTTTGTAACTCTAGGAAATCGTTGTCACTTGCAGTTACTTTCTAACAAAGAGGTGAGGTACAACAGAGAAAGACCTTTTGTTTTAATTTAATTTCACTGCGGGACGTGTGCTATGAATCTTTCACAAGGTTCCTGTTTGCTGTTAAAATTATAGAAAGCTCGAAGTACAATTGGCGATAAATTGTCGAAAAATTCAAGGGAACTATAACTGCCAGTCTCGTGGAAGGAAAACCTCTCTTTCAACGCTACGATGCATGTAAACAAGTTTTCCTGGTGTAGATTTCTTTCCTGGTGTCTTGTAATTTGCATCCTTCAACCCGCATCAGGTAGGTATCAGGCTTCTTTCCAAGAACACTTACTCAAACGCCATTGTGGTCATTATGTGAAAAGTATTCGTATTCCACTGCTTCTTCTGCGATCTACAGGGGCGCAAATTATTTTGATCGAGAAAACAAAGGACAAAATGTATTGAGCGGCCCGCCAACTTCATGCAACCCAAGCTTCTTTTTGAAGGGAGAAAAAGAGGCGCAAGGTCATCTTCATTAATCGTAGACGAACAGATGCGCACAAGCTTAAAACCGGGTAGGCTATCCGGGTTGGCTGCCTATGAATTAGCCGCAGTTGTTAGTTTCGGGCGAATGAAGATGCTAGTATTAACCTTAAGCCGGAAAATCAGGTTCTTCGTTTTCGCTGATGATTTATCTGTGCTTTCTTATTCGCAAGTCCTTTCAAAATGAAATTACGTGTCAGTTTTTCAAAAAAGGCTATCACTGGACTGTAGATGCGATTTAAACTGATAAAGCAGTGTTCCTTATTAAGTACGGTTCTTTCAGCTATGTCAATGATCGTTTGCTGCGCAAATTTTTTGTTTTAGAATAAGAATATATCTCGTTCCCCCTTCTAGGTCCCGGACTACCAAAACGGTCAAGAAGATCTCAAAAGGGTGTTGGATTTTTTGGCTAACGGTTAACATTTTTTCCCATATACGGCTAATGGTTAATCTCTCTCCATTGCTGTCCCAGTATTTTTTTTGTGTACGGTCAACTTTTTTTTTATACGATTAACGGTTAAAATTCGTCAATTTTTACGCCTAAAGGCAAAATTTTGTGGCCGTTTTACGGCTAACGGTTACCCCATCGAGACCCTCGGTCAATGTTGTCTTATTTAATGACATACTTCTTCTACAGTTGTTAGTCTCAATCCGGACGCGATAGAACACTTTGTGCTGGACGTTCAAGCGCTTTATTTTACAGCCCGATCTGCCATTGAGGACAGTACTTCAACTCCAGAAAGACTAACCGGCCTTTGGACTAAGTTGGAAGCCGCTGTAATGAATTTAAGAAAAATCCAATGGCATCTTATAACCACGAAACCCTGTGCTGAGGACATTTTGGCCCCATTAGTTCAAAGTCTGTCGACCATAGAAATAAGGATTGGTAAAGTTATCGAGCAGTACAGCTGCCTTGTTCCTTTTCTAAGGGAGCAGTTGTGTTACCGGGCACCTGTGACCTCAACGGAATGGGTTGGTAGACCATCCTACGTAATTACGAAGGAGCAGTTGGAAGTGATGCGCACCTATGGTTTGTCATGGGTAGAAATAGCGAAAGCACTAGGTGAGCCGAAAATAATTTCATAATAAAGAAAATGCTCACGCGGAGTCATTCGTATTTTTTCTTTTTTTTTTTGTCATGCCCCTTTTTTCGAGAATGGATGTGTTCTCTTTTATTTTAATTCATATTTTAAAAAGTTTTTGAACATCGATATGGCTGCTTTATATTGGCCACAGGTTGATCTATGTTTCATATTCGCCGTTATCGTGCTATGAAGGGTGTCTCATACGATTTTACCTATAAAACTTTTCGCAGGGGTCTCGATTTCGACAATGTGGAGACGTCGCATCTATCATGAAATGGAAAGAAGAAAGCATTATGGAAGAAGGAAGCTAGGTATGCAAGAGCTGATAGATATAGTGGCTGAAATAAAGTCCAGAAGTGTGAATGCGGGCATCATTATGATCGAGGGTGAATTAGCGGCTCGATCCCTCTACGCTAGAAGATCTGCCATCGCAGAGGCATTAGTTCGCCATGATCCTATAGGTGCAGGCCTGCGGTGGAGAAATTTGACCCCAAGAGTTACTTATAGCGTTCCAGGTAATTCTACGTTCTGAGTTATAAAACTTTGAACCGCAAATCATAGATTTGAATAGATGTGATCAAGTGTGCTGCTTATTTCCATATTGCACCGCATGAAGTATGTGTCACTAAGAGAATTGTGCAGGTTTTGATGTCCATTTTTTATACGTCGACCTTAACAGAAAAGGAGCTCATGTCCGTCCAACATTACCATATCTTGAGTATGACTATGGATATTCGTTCTCGAATAGAGCCAATTACTTTCATCATAAAAGAACAAATGATCAAACCCAGGATCGTTGACTTATTAGTGTTTGAAATATATATATTGTAGGCCCAAACAGCCTGTGGCACTTGGATGGCAATCACAAGCTGATACGGTAAGTAACAGACCTAAAACATACCATAAATACATTGTTTTTAGATCGCCTGCACTGTTCTACAATAATGCTTGAGGAAAATTAAAAATTATCAGAGCGGAAGACATTTACGTTCCTCATCAACAGCATTTTTTAACATGCTGTAATTCGTCTGTATTCGGGAATTAATACCTGTTACTTCCTTTAATGTATCTATGGAATTCAGTAGAGGAAAAATGCACCATATTCTACTTTTCCCCACTCATAATGTGAGTACCGTGTGAAAGGTGTTTTAAAACTCTTTTCTCAGATGGAGGTTGGTCGTGCACGGAGGAATAGACGGATATTCGAGGCTTGTTGCATTCCTCCGCTGTTCCAGCAACAACAGGGCAGCAACAGTGGCCAATTTATTCTTAGGCGCCACAACTGAATTCTGTTGGCCATCACGGGTGAGGACAGATAAGGGTGGAGAGAATGCGGAAGTTGCGCGCCTTATGGTTGAAAAACGGGGAGAAGGTCGCGGCAGCATTTTGCAAGGTAGTTCGGTCCATAACCAGAGGATAGAGAGGCTGTGGAGAGACATGCGCAAAATGGTCACGGAGTATTTCCGACTCCTCTTCTATTTCTTAGAGAGGAACAATCTTCTGAATCCGAACGACGAACTGGATCTGGCAGCTCTTCATTATGTATTTATTCCACGGATTAATGAAAATCTAGAAACGTTTAAGGTGTCCTGGAACAGTCATAAGCTATCTACTGAAAAACAAAAGACTCCAAATCAGTTGTACATTCTAGGAATGCTTAATTTGTTTGGATCAGAATATACAGCGGTAAAGGACTTCTTCGAAAGCAACGTCATAGACTCCAACTATTACGGCGTAGAGGAACCGGATGTCATTGATGCAGCGTCAGAGGTGGAGGAGGCTGTCGTGGTGCCTGAAACAATGCAAAACCTTTCTAACGCGAGCTTGCAGGAGTTGCAGCTACAAGTGAATCCGTTGGAGCGGGACACCAACCACGGCATCTCGCTTTACATTCGAGCAAAAGAATTCCTCTCGCAGCAAAATTAGCAATCGGTGAGCACGAGTTTTTTTCTCTGATGGGGGTGAAGCACGCAAAAAGTCTTCAAACCGGTTGTGCAGACCAAGCAATGTGGTCTACGATGTTGTTTTCGATGATGTCCTTTACCGCAGTTTATTTCGGTATTTCAACACATTAGGGCAGAGAGTGCAATGGTTTTACACGAGAACAAGGCGGAAATACGGACTGAAGGCGGAGCAACCAAACTTTGTTTGTGTGTGCGTTTTATTTATTTATTTATTTTTTATTTTAGGCTCTACTTTTTAAGCAACGAACTTTTAAGCGCATTATTTTTTTCCTTTTCATGATTTGTTTTGTCTTTCGCGTACGCCTTATGCGATCGATTTCATGTTATGATAATGCCGTGCGATATATTTCGAAACCCAGACGCCAAAATATAAGAAAACGTAATAGCACTTGAATAATATATCTTTTATTCGATTTTTGACAGATAGGAAAAGTGCCCCCACGGGACTCAACAGTCTTTCTTTGTAGCAGGCCACACGACCTGAGAAGTAGATTCTTAGTGTCCTTGGGGTATTCTACTGGCAGAGGGTCGGTTTGAATGAATTGGCCTTTACTGAAGCCGAACTGAAGTTTAACTTAATCTTAAATGGCTTTGTTTCACGTTCATTAAAAAAAATTATGTCATTGTCTCGTAAGATCTCTGAATTTATATTTTTAGTTTCCCTTTGTAGTAGGCGAGTTCACCTGTCCCTTTGACTTCTTGTGTCCCTAGAGAATTAGAATGATCGCACTAAGGGCAGTTTGAATTGTCCTTTATTGAAGCCGAGCTTGATTTTAACATTCCCTGGATGGCTACTATTGTTTGTCATGCATTCTAAATAGCGTCTGGTTACTGAGTGGCAAGTTGTTGGCATTGATGTGTTTTGACGTGCTTGAAAAAACTCAAGAAACCCTGATATAAGAAATGGATAACATTACACCGATAACTGACTATCTAAAGGACTACGAATGTCAAGTATGGTAAGGATAGCTTATCTTTCTTTTTTTTCTCAAAAGTATGGAAAATTTAATTTCCGACAAACTCAAATCCAACCATACGTTGTGTCTTTCATCTCCTATTGCTCAAACTACTGAACAGTATGCGACAATGCCACCAAAGAAAGCGTTCTTTATGTGCAGTAGTAGTTTTCGGTAGAAAGAGTCCGATTGATTGTGAGTCAAATTGTAACAAATTCAGTAGGTCTCACCGATTTACGCTTATTTCTCTACATGCCGTGTTAATTATTTTTAAGTTCGCTCCATGTTCCACATGCCTAGGATTAGACTGTTACCGGTTTAACCCCATCTTAAAACACGCCCGACCTACAACGTCAGTTCATTCAAAAAACGTTAGAGTATTTCCTACTATAGCAGCTTACAGACCACGCTGATTGTTTCGCGTTTACATGCTGGCGTTGGCTAGCGCGAGGCAAGCTTACGGGTGAACTCATGCATGCATATATCAGGTTTCTCAGAGCGTCATAAAATTCTCTTTAGTACAGCAACCAACCAATCGATAGCATAGAAACAGTGGAAAAAAAAATTTAGTCTTTTGATTGGACTCTTGAGCGCGGGAAAAAAAAACCATAAAATTTAAATGTATGGAATTTAGAACGCCGTCAGTTCAAGCCACTCCCCTAAACCTCGTACGGGTAAAGGTAGATTTTTGAGGAATCTTTCGATTGAGTTTCAAAAGCAATCTGGGATCTGGGATTGTTTTGGGTCCGAATTCCTTTTGCGATTTTCATAAATGACACGCACACCATCGTCTCAGCCAACCCAAACCTAGCTATTCACGAGTCGGTCGCATTTTCCCGCGTTTCCGGTAGTTTTTTTTTTCTTTGCGTCCTCTGATAACTCTCGTGAATTCCTTTGATTCTCTTTTGCGAAAACTCAGAGCAGTCGAAATCCATGTTCTCTTTGTGCCTTAGTGATACCCTGATGCTGGAGCCAATTATTTTGCCTGACTGCGGGCACACGTTCTGCAAAACGTGTATTAGTAGGGTGCAACAAAACCCAACTACCAGCCAATGCCCCCTTTGTAAAAAGCCAATATGGAGCTCCACACAACTGAAGACAAACTTCACCCTCAAAAAGCTTGTGGAGAAGATCGAGGTAAAATGTACAGCGAGCAACGAGAGGGGGAGCATCGAAGTGGTAGCACGGCACACCTGCCCCGATGCCCTCATATCCTGTTCGAATAGGGCTGCCAACGCAGTATCAAAAGAAAGGACGAGCCGACCCATAAGGAGGAATGTCTCTACGCAGTCATCTCATGTGAACAATGCCACCAGAATACCACCGTGGCCAACAGGGAACTTCATCTTGAAAAGACTTGCCCAAGGGAGAAATCCGTTGCCCTCTAAAATGCAGGAAGCGTCCGAGAAGGTGTGGTCACAAAGCGTTGTACATTATCATTTCAAACTTAAAATGAAATTCTCTTGTATGCAGTTTCTTATATTAGGTCTTTTATATTTGATTTTTAAGCCCATGTAGACCATACTAGCATGTACGACTTTGAAAATTGTCACTGAGTTCAAGGTTTTCTTTATCCTTTTTTTTCCTTGTCACTTTCAAGAATCAACAGCAAATAATGAAATAAACAAATACAAAATATGAGTTGAGCTGAACAGTTGCGACTTCTTTTCCTCATTAGCAGATACATTCATGTAGCTTTTACCTTTTGTTTACTCTTAGGATGGAGTTGCAAACCCATCTGCTTGTCTGCGAGGAGAGGCAGCGACAATGTAGAGTCAATGGATGCCATTTTGCTGGGAATTTTAAGGAGATGGAGCAACATAACAAGGAGCAAGCAGAAAAGCACGTGTCACTGCTGACAGAGATGGGTGAAAAGCTCATAGACGTATTACTTAAAAAGGTAAGGCTGACCGAGGCCAATGCTCCTTAATGTTTTCCCCTTCCGATCTTTAATTGTTACTTAATAGCTAGTGTGCACGTCGCTGCGTGTCCACAGATTTTTTAACAGTTCTACAAAACTTTGAACAGCTTTCTGCTTTAAAAATCATCAGTCGAGACTGAAAAAGTTGACTGAGTAGATGGTCCTCTTGTTTCCTTTAGAATACGATCTCACAAGGATGATATAAAAATATACTATTTGAGGCATATTTGGGGATGAAGTGCTGGGGATGGGGAGTGGTCGAACATTTTTTTAACGCTGTTCAGCTTACAATAATCCCCCAGTGAATTTTCCTTTCACTTTACTCATTATGACGCTGATTTGATTTCCAACACAATAGGACACGAATGACTTAACCAAGACAAAAATGGCACTCGGAGGTTTCTGTTGGTCCATCTTTAACTTCAAACAAATGGCAGCAGATATGCTACAAGCCGGAAATACTGCAGAACCGATGGCCAGCGGAGTTTACGAATTTGAAGAGTGTAGTTGGAGGATGCTGCTGTACGTACGTCGCACAAAGTGCAAGTTATTCTTGCAGTTGCACCGAGCCGTTCATCCTGTACGAGCTTCATTCAGGTAAATCATATCACCCCCTTGATTACGGATTGGTTACTCTTGCTAAACCCTATACCTATAAGGTTAACCTGTACAAGCTATCAACCTTCTACAAAATGAATCGGCTGAATCAAAATAACCCATGCTTAGTAACATTAATCGGTCATATCTGAGTAGATAGCTCCAAAAACCTAAGAATTTATAAAGGGAAATAACTAAAACTTCTTTCTCTTTGTTTTTCCTCTTTTCTGTTGTGTTGTTGGTGTTGTTGCTTTTTTTTTATGTTTTTTTGGGTGTGCGTGTTTGTGTGTGACTGTAAATATATGAAAATCATATATGTGAACTGCGGTTAAAGAAGTGAAAATGAAAGAGAACATCGCAGTAATAAATACTTCTCAAGCAGCAGTGAAAAAAAGACCTAAGTAGAGCTCATTACTGCGATGTTCGCTTTCATTTTCACTGTCTGTGTGTGTGTTGAGATAAGAAAAAAAATTAACCTCTTAAAAATTTGTTTTAGAATTGTCATCGGGCTGGCAAACCCAGTAGTCATTGAGCTGGAGCCAGATCTTCGCCTGCGGGAAGGGGAGACCTTCGGGACTGACGTTGCCCTGGCAAAACTGGAACGAGAGGCAGAAAGGAACTCCGGCTGGCTTTTTATGGAAATATTTATTGAAAGGTTTTCTTTTTCTTTGTAAATGTTCAGTTGTGAAATGAAGATATGACACACTGTTACCTTAAGTTGAGTGACTGCGATGCAGTCTTCTCTCAGACTGATGTACATCAAAATGAAAGCTTTTTCTATGACCGTCCGCATCGTTAGAGTGAATATTTCTGAAACAGCAAAATAGTATATTGTGAATTTTCAAATTAGCTAGGAATAACCTTTTTTGTGTGACCGACAAAGAATCCTCAGATAACGTTTAATATTTCCATGTAGCTATACCTAAGCGAGTATGACGTTAGCGAGAAAAGAAAAAAAATACAGCGCACGTGAAAACACTGCATCATAACCATAAACATGGTTTAGTTATTCTTCTTTTTGTAATAAATAAAGAGACAGTTTCGTTGAGATGGTCAAACTATACGTTAGGCTAAAAAGAGTTCCATTGCCTTTTTTAAAATCGCTTGAGCCAAATTTGAATCATAGGCTGACGACTTTTGACGTTGTGTTAAACTTATAAATAAGATAGACAAGACCATAGCTGTGGCGTAACAGATAATTTCATTCTTTTTTGGGCGTTTCCCCGATCCGTTCGCATTTTTCAATTTAGTTCCTTTCGGTTTTATATTAGCATCGTTTAAAAAGCTTTTATTTACCTTTTTCTCATACATTTAATGCAAGAAGATCAAGTTTTTTTTTTTTTAATAATAGGGATGTGATTAGTCATGTGCACAACATTTAGTGATAAATAAATTGTTGTGGCAGAATAAGCTAATGGAATCTTTTGGTTTGGTTTCATCTTACTTTACAAGTTTCCTTGCTCTTAAACTTCCCTTTACGACAAAATATCTACCACTGTAAACTTTCTTTTTCCCTCAAATGCTGCTGATTTTCTCTATAAGGTGGCTTTCCGGTTCTACTACATGTTATTAAAGCACGAGCTGATTATTGTCGTATGTTGTAGCGTTAAAACATTCATGAATAGTTTATCTTATAACTTTTCCAGAGATACTTTCATTTGGAGAATCCGTCAGATATTGTACAATAACTTAACAAACTGTGATGATAGTGTCAAAATTTTGCCAAAATCGCCATGAATACCAAAACAGGGCTTTCTTCATTTATTGCGAGGAATTAGAGAAATGCTTCCTTAATTTGGTCTTAATCAATACCCTTATGCTAATGGTACATTTCTTAATTGTACAATATACACGAAGTTAAAGGAGAAGACTAACTGCAGTCTTTTTTATTGATATACAGTTTTTATTACCTACCTAAAACTATCCTAACCTTGTACCGAGAGAAGTCTGGGTAGGAGAGTACTCTGCGGTTATCAGAGTCGGCGATTGAGAAAATTATCAGGCTCCGGCAATGAGACAAATTTCGGACTCGACGATTGTAACGAATAATTTAAGAACTCGAGCATTAATATAAAGCACGGTGATAAGTCGAAATCCATTTAGATAGTAAATACAGACATGGGAAATAATATCAGGCTCGGAAAATAATATCAGACACGGGAAATAGCAGACAATGAGGAGGTCTGAAAGTGGCCAACAATAACGGACCCTGTTAATTGATTTCCGACACGAAAATTAATTTTTCGATAGGGAAAATACCCTGACTGAATTTTGAACGGTATGTTACGCCATAAGTCTGGGTATTTTCCCTATCGAAAAATTAATTTTCGTGTCGGAAATCAATTAACAGGGTCCGTTATTGTTGGCCACTTTCAGACCTCCTCATTGTCTGCTATTTCCCGTGTCTGATATTATTTTCCGTGCCTGATATTATTTCCCATGTCTGTATTTACTATCTAAATGGATTTCGACTTATCACCGTGCTTTATATTAATGCTCGAGTTCTTAAATTATTCGTTACAATCGTCGAGTCCGAAATTTGTCTCATTGCCGGAGCCTGATAATTTTCTCAATCGCCGACTCTGATAACCGCAGAGTACTCTCCTACCCAGACTTCTCACGGTACAAGGTTAGGATAGTTTTAGATAGGTAACAAAAACTGTATATCAATAAAAAAGACTGCAGTTAGTCTTCTCCTTTAACTTCGTGTATATTGTACAATTAAGAAATGTACCATTAGCATAAGGGTATTGATTAAGACCAAATTAAGGAAGCATTTCTCTAATTCCTCGCAATAAATGAAGAAAGCCCTGTTTTGGTATTCATGGCGATTTTGGCAAAATTTTGACACTATCATCACAGTTTGTTAAGTTATTGTACAATATCTGACGGATTCTCCAAATGAAAGTATCTCTGGAAAAGTTATAAGATAAACTATTCATGAATGTTTTAACGCTACAACATACGACAATAATCAGCTCGTGCTTTAATAACATGCTAGTAGAACCGGAAAGCCACCTTATAGAGAAAATCAGCAACATTTGAGGGAAAAAGAAAGTTTACAGTGGTAGATATTTTTTCGTAAAGGGAAGTTTAAGAGCAAGGAAACTTGTAAAGTAAGATGAAACCAAACCAAAAGATTCCACAGCCATTCTGCCGCAACAATTTATTATTCACTAAATGTTGTGCACATGACTAATCACATCCGATTAAAAACAAAAAACTTGATCTTCTTGCATTAAATGTATGAGAAAAAGGTAAATAAAAGCTTTTTAAAACGATGCTAATATAAAACCGAAAGGAACTAAATTGAAAAATGCGAACGGATCGGGGAAACGCCCAAAAAAGAATGAAATTATCTGTTACGCCACAGCTATGGTCTTGTCTATCTTATTTATAAGTTTAACACAACGTCAAAAGTCGTCAGCCTATGATTCAAATTTGGCTCAAGCAATTTTAAAAAGGCAATGGAACTCTTTTAGCCTAACGTATAGTTTGACCATCTCAACGAAACTGTCTCTTTATTTATTACAAAAAGAAGAATAACTAAACCATGTTTATGGTTATGATGCAGTGTTTTCACGTGCGCTGTATTTTTTTTCTTTTCTCGCTAACTTCATACTCGCTTAGCTATAGCTACGTGGAAATATTAAACGTTATCTGAGGATTCTTTGTCGGTCACACAAAAAAGGTTATTCCTAGCTAATTTGAAAATTCACAATATACTATTTCGCTGGTTCAGAAATATTCACTCTAACGATGCGGACGGTCATAGAAAAGCTTTCATTTTGATGTACATCAGTCTGAGAGAACACTGCATCGCAGTCACTCAACTTAAGGTAACAGTGTGTCATATCTTCACTTCACAACTAAACATTTACAAAGAAAAAAAACCTTTCAATAAATATTTCCATAAAAAGCCAGCCGGAGTTCTTTTCTGCCTCTCGTTCCAGTTTTGCCAGGGCAACCTCAGTCCTGAAGGTCTCCCCTTCCCGCAGGCGAAGATCTGGCTCCAGCTCAATGACTACTGGGTTTGCCAGCCCGATGACAATTCTAAAACAAATTTTTAAGAGGTTAATTTTTTTTTTCTTATCTCAACACACACACAGACAGTGAAAATGAAAGCGAACATCGCAGTAATGAGCACTACTTAGGTCTTTTTTTTTTTCAGAAGTATTTATTACTGCGATGTTCTCTTTCATTTTCACTTCTTTAACCGCAGTTCACATATATGATTTTCATATATTTACAGTCACACACAAACACCCACACCCAAAAAAAAACCAAAAACACCAACAACACAACAGAAAAGAGGAAAAACAAAGAGAAAGAAGTTTTAGTTATTTCCCTTTACAGATTCTTAGGTTTTTGGAGCTATCTACTCAGATATGACCGATTAGAGTTACTAAGCATGCGTTATTTTGATTCAGCCGATTCATTTTGTAGAAGGTTGATAGCTTGTACAGGTTAACCTTATAGGTATAGGGTTTAGCAAGAGTAACCAATCCGTAATCAAGGGGGTGATATGATTTACCTGAATGAAGCTCGTACAGGATGAACGGCTCGGTGCAACTGCAAGAATAACTTGCACTTTGTGCGACGTACGTACAGCAGCATCCTCCAACTACACTCTTCAAATTCGTAAACTCCGCTGGCCATCGGTTCTGCAGTGTTTCCGGCTTGTAGCATATCTGCTGCCATTTGTTTGAAGTTAAAGATGGACCAACAGAAACCTCCGAGTGCCATTTTTGTCTTGGTCAAGTCATTCGTGTCCTGTTGTGTTGGAAATCAAATCAGCGTCATAGTGAGTAAAGTGAAAGGAAAATTCACTGGGGGATTATTGTAAGCTGAACAGCGTTAAAAAAATGTTCGACCACTCCCCCTCCCCCGCACTTCATCCCCAAATCTGCCTCAAATAGTATATTTTTATATCATCCTTGTGAGATCGTATTCTAAAGGAAACAAGAGGACCATCTACTCAGTCAACTTTTTCAGTCTCGACTGATGATTTTTAAAGCAGAAATCTGTTCAAAGTTTTGTAGAACTGTTAAAAAATCTGTGGACACGCAGCGACGTGCACACTAGCTATTAAGTAACAATTAAAGATCGGAAGGGGAAAACATTAAGGAGCATTGGCCTCGGTCAGCCTTACCTTTTTAAGTAATACGTCTAAGAGCTTTTCACCCATCTCTGTCAGCAGTGACACGTGCTTTTCTGCTTGGTCCTTGTTATGTTGCTCCATCTCCTTAAAATTCCCAGCAAAATGGCATCCATTGACTCTACATTGTCGCTGCCTCTCCACGCAGACAAGCAGATGGGTTTGCAACTCCATCCTAAGAGTAAACAAAAGGTTAAAGCTACATGAATGTATCTACTAACGAGGAAAAGAACTCGCATCTGTTCAGCTCAACTCATATTTTATATTTGTTTATTTCATTATTTGCTGTTGATTCTTGAAAGTGACAAGGATTATAATAAGACAAGCCAAGTCATGGATATTTTCCCAATAACACTGCGTTTGAGTCGCAAAGTAAACTTTTGGGGCTAATTTTGGATCAATTTTAATCTTGGACGGAGGAGCAAATTGAAGGGAAGCTTTCCAAAGTTCGCGAGATTTATATATATAAAGATGATATTTCTATAAAAATTATATACAGTAAGCTTTGAGTACACTTGGGAAAGATAAAGAAAACCTTGAACTCAGTGACAATTTTCAAAGTCGTACATGCTAGTAACGTCTACATGGGCTTAAAAAATCAAATATAAAAGACCTAATATAAGAAACTGCATACCCACACCAGATGCTTTCTTTTACGCACGTAAAGAGAATTTCATTTTAAGTTTGAAATGATAATGTACAACGCTTTGTGACCACACCTTCTCGGACGCTTCCTGCATTTTAGAGGGCAACGGATTTCTCCCCTTATGCAAGTCTTTTCAAGATGAAGTTCCTTGTTGGCCACGGTGGTATTCTGGTGGCATTGTTCACACGAGATGACTGCGTAGAGGCATTCCTCCTTATGGGTCGGCTCATCCTTTCTTTTAATACTGCGTTGGCAGCCCCTATTAGAACAGGATATGAGGGCATCGGGGCAGGTGTGCCGTGCTACCACTTCGATGCTCCCCCTCTCGTTGCACGCTGTACATTTTACCTCGATCTTCTCTACAAGCTTTTTGAGGGTGAAGTTTGTCTTCAGTTGTGTGGAGCTCCATATAGGCTTTTTACAAAGGGGGCAATGGCTGGTAGTTGGGTTTTGTTGCACCCTACTAGTACAAGTTTTGCAGAACGTGTGGCCGCAGTCCGGCAAAATAATTGGCTCCAGCATCAGGGTATCACTAAAGCACAAAGAGAACATGGATTTCGACTGCTCTGAGTTTTCAAAAAGAGAATCAAAGGAATTCACGAGAGTTAATCAGAGGACGCAAAGAAAAAAAAATAAAACTACCGGAAACGCGGGAAAATGCGACCGACTCGTGAATAGGTTTAGTTTTGAATAGGGTTGGCTGAGACGATGGTGTGCGTGTCATTTATGAAAATCGCGAAGGGAATTCGGACCCAAAACAATCCCAGATCCCAGATTACTTTTGAAACTCAATCGAAAGATTCCTCAAAAATCTACCTTTACCCGTACGAGGTTTAGGGGAGTGGCTTGAACTGATGGCGTTCTAAATTCCATACATTTAAATTTTTATGGTTTTTTTCCCGCGCTCAAGAGTCCAATCAAAAGACTAAATTTTTTTTCACTGTTTCTATGCTATCGGTTGGTTGGTTGCTGTACTAAAGATAATTTTATGACGCTCTGAGAAACCTGATATATGCATGCATGAGTTCACCCGTAAGCTTGCCTCGCGCTAGCCAACGCCAGCATGTAAACGCGAAACAATCAGCGTGGTCTGTAAGCTGCTATAGTGGGAAATACTCTCACGTTTTTTGAATGAACTGACGTTGTAGGTCGGGCGTGTTGTAAAATGGGGTTAAACCAGTAAAAGTCTAATCCTAGGCATGTGGAACATGGAGCGAACTTAAAAATAGTTAACACGGCATGTAGAGAAATAAGCGTAAATCGGTGAGACCTACTGAATTTGTTACAATTTGACTCACAATCAATCGGACTCTTTCTACCGAAAGCTACTACTGCACATAAAGAACGCTTTCTTTGGTGGCATTGTCGCATACTGTTCAGTAGTTTGAGCAATAGGAGATGAAAGACACAACGTATGGTTGGATTTGAGTTTTTCGGAAATTAAATTTTCCATATTTTTGAGAAAAAAAAGAAAGATAAACTATCCTTACCATACTTGACATTCGTAGTCCTTTGGATAGTTAGTTATCGGTGCAATGTTATCCATTTCTTATATCAGGGTTTCTTGAGTTTTCTTAAGCACGTCAGAACACATCAATGCCAACAACTTGCCACTCAGTAACCAGACGCTATTTAGAATGCATGACAAACAATAGCAGCAATCAGGAATGTTAAAATGAAGCTCGGCTTCAATAAAGGACAATTCAAACTCAAAAGTGCGATCATTATAATTCTCTAGGGACACAAGAAGTCAAAGGGACAGGTGAACTCGCCTACTACAAAGGGAAACTAAAAATATAAATTCAGAGATCTTACGAGACAATGACATAATTTTTTTTTAATGAACGTGAAACAAAGCCATTTAAGATTAAGTTAAACTTCAGTTCGGCTTCAGTAAAGGCCAATTCATTCAAACCGACCCTCTGTCAGTAGAATACCCCCAAGGACACTAAGAATCTACTTCTCAGTTCGTGTGGCCTGCTATAAAGAAAGACTGTTGAGTCCCGTGTGGGCACTTTTCCTATCTGTCAAAAATCGAATTAAAGATATATTATTCAAGTGTTATTACGTTTTCTTATATTTTGGCGTCTGGGTTTCAAAATATATCGCACGGCATTATCATAACATGAAATCGATCGCATAAGGCGTACGCGAAAGACAAAACAAATCATGAAAAGGAAAAAAAATAATGCGCTTAAAAAGTTCGTTGCTTAAAAGTAGAGCCTAAAATAAAAATAAATAAATAAAACGCACACACAAACAAAGTTTGGTTGCTCCGCCTTCAGTCCGTATTTCCGCCTTGTTCTCGAGTAAAACCATTGCACACTCTGCCCTAATGTGTTGAAATACCGAAATAAACTGCGGTAAAGGACATTTTTTTTTAAATGAACGTGAAACAAAGCCATTTAAGATTAAGTTAAACTTCAGTTCGGCTTCAGTAAAGGCCAATTCATTCAAACCGACCCTCTGTCAGTAGAATACCCCAAGGACACTAAGAATCTACTTCTCAGTTCGTGTGGCCTGCTACAAAGAAAGACTGATGAGTCCCGTGTGGGCACTTTTCCTATCTGTCAAAAATCGAATTAAAGATATATTATTCAAGTGTTATTACGTTTTCTTATATTTTGGGGTCTGGGTTTCAAAATATATCGCACGGCATTATCATAACATGAAATCGATCGCATAAGGCGTACGCGCGAAAGAAAACAAATCATGAAAAGGAAAAAAATAATGCGCTTAAAAGTTCGTTGCTTAAAAAAGTAGAGCCTAAAATAAAAAATAAATAAATAAAACGCACACACAAACAAAGTTTGGTTGTTCTGCCTTCAGTCCGTATTTCCGCCTTGTTCTCGAGTAAAACCATTGCACACTCTGCCCTAATGTGTTGAAATGCCGAAATAAACTGCGGTAAAGGACATTTTTTTTTTAAATGAACGTGAAACAAAGCCACTGAAGATTAAGTTAAACTTCAGTTCGGCTTCAGTAAAAGGCCAATTCATTCAAACCAACCCTCTGTCAGTAGAATACCCCAAGGACACTAAGAATCTACTTCTCAGTTCGTGTGGCCTGCTACAAAGAAAGACTGTTGAGTCCCGTGGGGGGGCACTTTTCCTATCTGTCAAAAATCGAATAAAAGATATATTATTCAAGTGTTATTACGTTTTCTTATATTTTGGCGTCTGGGTTTCAAAATATATCGCACGGCATTATCATAACATGAAATCGATCGCATAAGGCGTACGCGAAAGACAAAACAAATCATGAAAAGGAAAAAAAAATAATGCGCTTAAAAGTTCGTTTGCTTAAAAGTAGAGCCTAAAATAAAAAATAAATAAATAAAACGCACACACAAACAAAGTTTGGTTGTTCCGCCTTCAGTCCGTATTTCCGCCTTGTTCTCGTGTAAAACCATTGCACACTCTGCCCTAATGTGTTGAAATACCGAAATAAACTGCGGTAAAGGACATCATCGAAAACAACATCGTAGACCACATTGCTTGGTCTGCACAACCGGTTTGAAGACTTTTGCGTGCTCCATCAGCGAAAAAACTCGTGCTCACCGATTGCTAATTTTGCTGCGAGAGGAATTCTTTTACTCGAATGTAAAGCGAGATGCCGTGGTTGGTGTCCCGCTCCAATGGATTCACTTGTAGCTGCAACTCCTGCAAGCTCGCGTTAGAAAGGTTTTGCATTGTTTCAGGCACCACGACAGCCTCCTCCACCTCTGACGCTGCATCAATGACATCCGGTTCCTCTACGCCGTAATAGTTGGAGTCTATGACGTTGCTTTCGAAGAAGTCCTTTACCGCTGTATATTCTGATCCAAACAAATTAAGCATTCCTAGAATGTACAACTGATTTGGAGTCTTTTGTTTTTCAGTAGATAGCTTATGATTGTTCCAGGACACCTTAAACGTTTCTAGATTTTCATTAATCCGTGGAATAAATACATAATGTAGAGCTGCCAGATCCAGTTCGTCGTTCGGATTCAGAAGATTGTTCCTCTCTAAGAAATAGAAGAGGAGTCGGAAATACTCCGTGACCATTTTGCGCATGTCTCTCCACAGCCTCTCTATCCTCTGGTTATGGACCGAACTACCTTGCAAAATGCTGCCCCGACCTTCTCCTCGTTTTTCAACCATAAGGCGCGCAACTTCCGCATTCTCTCCACCCTTATCTGTCCTCACCCGTGATGGCCAACAGAATTCAGTTGTGGCGCCTAAGAATAAATTCGCCACTGTTGCTGCCCTGTTGTTGCTGGAACAGCGGAGGAATACAACAAGCCTCGAATATCCGTCTATTCCTCCGTGCACGACCAACCTCCATCTGAGAAAAGAGTTTTAAAACACCTTTCACACGGTACTCACATTATGAGTGGGGAAGAGTAGAATATGGTGCATTTTTCCTCTACTGAATTCCATAGATACATTAAAGGAAGTAACAGGTATTAATTCCCGAATACAGACGAATTACAGCATGTTAAAAAATGCTGTTGATGAGGAACGTAAATGTCTTCCGCTCTGATCATTTTTAATTTTCCTCAAGCATTATTGTAGAACAGTGCAGGCAATCTAAAAACAATGTATTTATGGTATGTTTTAGGTCTGTTACTTACCGTATCAGCTTGTGATTGCCATCCAAGTGCCACAGGCTGTTTGGGCCTACAATATATATATTTCAAACACTAATAAGTCAACGATCCTGGGTTTGATCATTTGTTCTTTTATGATGAAAGTAATTGGCTCTATTCGAGAACGAATATCCATAGTCATACTCAAGATATGGTAATGTTGGACGGACATGAGCTCCTTTTCTGTTAAGGTCGACGTGTAAAAAATGGACATCAAAACCTGCACAATTCTCTTAGTGACACATACTTCATGCGGTGCAATATGGAAATAAGCAGCACACTTGATCACATCTATTCAAATCTATGATTTGCGGTTCAAAAAGTTTTATAACTCAGAACGTAGAATTACCTGGAACGCTATAAGTAACTCTTGGGGTCAAATTTCTCCACCGCAGGCCTGCACCTATAGGATCATGGCGAACTAATGCCTCTGCGATGGCAGATCTTCTAGCGTAGAGGGATCGAGCCGCTAATTCACCCTCGATCATAATGATGCCCGCATTCACACTTCTGGACTTTATTTCAGCCACTATATCTATCAGCTCTTGCATACCTAGCTTCCTTCTTCCATAATGCTTTCTTCTTTCCATTTCATGATAGATGCGACGTCTCCATATTGTCGAAATCGAGACCCCTGCGAAAAGTATTACAGGTAAAATCGTATGAGACACCCTTCATAGCACGATAACGGCGAATATGAAACATAGATCAACCTGTGGCCAATATAAAGCAGCCATATCGATGTTCAAAAACTTTTAAAATATGAATTAAAATAAAGAGAACACATCCATTCTCGAAAAAAGGGCATGAAAAAAAAAAAAAGAAAAATACGAATGACTCCGCGTGAGCATTTTATTATGAAATTATTTTCGGCTCACCTAGTGCTTTCGCT